CTACAGACCCACTAAGAAAATCTAACAAATGCTACGTTCAACAAAGGACAAGAGGGATCCTCCCACCTCTGCAGGGGTCTACCATATACCATTCAGTTGTGGACAAGTCCACATAGGAACCACCAAATGCAGCACTGCCCAAACATGAATCAAGGAACATGAAAGACACTGAAGACTAATTGAACAGAGAAGTCAGCCATAGCAGAGCATCCAATGAACCAACCTGGACACAGCATATTATTTGAGAACACAGAAATGCTGGACCACTCTAACTACCACCATGTCAGACTACACAGAGAAGCCATTGAAATTGTCCATGTGGACAATTTCAACAGAAAGGAAGAAACCATGAAAATGAACAAAATCTGGCTACCAGTATTAAACAAAACTCTAAAATTATAACAGTAAATAAAAAACAAACTCGAATACAGGGCAACTCCAGAGAAGAAACAATCAGGAACAGCAAATCAGTTATCAACAAGGAGTTCCCCCAGGTAGGTACAGGGCACACCTAAAAAATGGTCAGACCATCAAATGCTAATCAAAGTGGCCAATTGAAACATTCACACCTAGCTCCAATAGACAAGAGTTCTTTCTCATACACTGGACTTTCCGCAGATATATAAGCCCAATTTTCCTAGTTTCCAACAGACTTCACAACCTCTGAGGATGCCTACCCTAGATGAAGGTAAAACGTCAGAAGAGAATTCCAGCCATAAAAGCCTTTGACAATGCAAAAAAAAAAAAGATGGCTTCGCCCATAGTTTGACATGTTTATCCAAAGTTTTCTGGCTCCTTCTTCTCCCCAATGGGACTTAAGCATGGAAGCATTGCAAGAGAGAATGAATGTCCTTGTATTTTCTGTTTCTTAATTGCCCCAATGTGATGTACATGTTGTGACAGGATCCTGCTGAATAAATATATCACTGTTGGCATTGCAAGTATGTGAGACTTTTGCTTGCTGCTATAAATAGAGACTGCTTTGCAACCTTGATAAACTGCTTCGAAGCATTCTTCCCTCATTGGAAGAAATGGGTGCAGAGGGGAAGGAACGGTTCTGTTGTTACCCCAAGCTGAGGTGTCAGCTGCAGCTCCAGGTCATTGAAGCAACAGTCTTGCTTAGGGGTTGATGTAAGGCCCGCAAAATGACTGCAAAGCAATCCCCATCTGTCCAATTCTATTGGCAGCAATAATTTCCCCATGGGGGATGAAATCATACCATCAGAACAAGTGCTCCTTTCCTGCCAGCCAACCAAACCAACATCCAACAGGCATCACATATCTTTTTGGTTTGTATGTTGCTGCTCTAGGTTTCCAGCTCTTTGGATTCTCCATTGTCCCCCCCCCCCCAAATTCTGTTACTGCATTCTGATATTTCTTCTATTTCTCCTTCCATTTCTTTTGTATTATAGAATCATAGAATCATAGAATTGTTGAGTTGGAAGAGACCTCATGGGCCATCAAGTCCAACACCTTGCCAAGAAGCAAGAAAATTGCATTCACAGCACCCCCGACAGATGGCCATCCAGCCTCTGCTTAAAAGCCTCCAAAGAAGGAGCCTCCACCACCATTATGCAGAAGTACACCTGCATGTGCTAACCACAGAGTCAGGCCCCTTCTATACTGCCATATAAAATCCAGATTATCTGTTTTGAACTGGATTATATGGCAGTGTAGACTCATATAATCCAGTTCAAAGTAGATAATCTGGATGATCTGCTTTGGTAATCTGGATTAGATGGTAGTATAGAAAGGCTCTCAGCCCTCTACATTCACTGGGGTTAGAGGTACAGAGTGAAAACTGCAAATAACACTTTGAGCCCCCGGTGGCACAGTGGGTTAAAGTGCTAAGCTGCTGAACTTGCAAATCCAGGGAGCGGGGTGAGCTCTTGTAGTTAGCCCCTGCTTCCGCCAACCTAGTTCAAAAACATGCAAATGTGAATAGAGCAATAGGTACCACTTCTGTAGGAAGGTAACAGTGCCCCATGCAGTCATGCCAGCCACCTGACCTTGGAGGTGTTTATGGACAATGCTGGCTCTTCGGCTCAGAAAAGGAGATGAGCACCAACCCCCAGAGTCAGACATGATTGCATTTAACATCAGGGGAAACCTTTACCTTTACCTTTACAGTCCCAGAAGCCTGGGGATTTCAGGATAATTTTCTGTCTCCTTGGTTCAACTGGAGAAGAAACTGTAAAGCCCAACAGAATTTTCAAAGGACTTAATATTAGGGCAAAACCTTTACCTTTACCTAACCAAATTTGAAAACAAAATCTGTTCCTAGTTTGAAAGTGTTATTTCCTGTTTAATTCTGTGCTACTTACTTTGAAAGAAGTTGTTGTGCTCCAGAACATTCATTTTTGTGGCTGCCACAAACTATATTAAATTGGTTGAGACACAATGAGATATTCATTGAAAAACCATAGCAAAATATGCTGCAGGATGTCCCACAAAAACAAAGACAGCAACTCTCTAAAAATGTCTATGTCTTCCAGCATGACTCTATTTCTGTTAAAAGCTGATCATAGTGTTACACTAGAGAATGCTTTAATCAAATCTGTGAATATTCATATACACAAAAGGCAAAACTGTAAACATGGAGGGACAACTGCGCACATAGGCCAAGAGCTGAGATAGTTCTTGCATAGTGTAAATTATTATATTATATTATTATTATAACTTTATTTGTACCCCGCTAGCATCTCCCAAAGGACTCGATGCGGCTTACAAAGGCCTCAAAACACAATACAACAATACAATACCTAAAGCAAATTAAAAACAGTTAAGCAGTATGAACAACAAACAATAAACAATACATCAAGACACTATAAAACTGGGCTGGGCCAGAGTAATGGGTACAAGGTTAAAAGTGCTGATGTGGCAGGAGGTATGTAGGATTATAAGTAAGTGCAGTGTGTAGAGTGCAGCAATCTTAGTTCTACTAAAGTGCTTCTAGGACTTGGTATTGGAGATTCCTAATCTGAGAAGGCACATCGGAATAGCAGGTCTTCAAGTTCTTTCTGAAGACTGCCAATGTAGGGGCCTGTCTGAGATCTTTTGGGAGGGCATTCCAGAGTCGGGGTGCCGCCACAGAAAAGGCCCTGTCTCGAGTCCCCACCAAGCGGGCTTGCGACGCAGGCGGGATCACGAGCAGGGCCTCTCCAGATGACCGAAGTGAACGCGTGGGTTCGTAGACAGAGATGCGGTCATGCAGGTAGGGTGGTCCCAAACCGTTCAGGGCTTTGTAGGTAAGCACTAAATCTACAAGTACTTCCATAATGGAGCTATACCACTCTTCTGCATGCCAGACACCCAGGTATATGCTCATGCGCCCACTCATTGTCCCATTATGCAGTAAGGAATGCACACTGTGGCTATTTCTGGAACCCCAGAAAATAACAAGTTAATTCAAAGCACTGACATTAGTTTTGCATCAGGCAGAAATACTCTAGCTAGTTAGTCCCAGCTAGAGTTGACTTGTTGAATCATTTGCTGAATAATGAGTCTTACAACTGGGTTGTTGTAGGTTTTTCCGAGCTATATGGCCATGTTCTAGAGGCATTTTCTCTTACAACTCATGTTATTGGAATGCAAATGTACATAAATTTTGTGTAAAACATGTACCAGGAATTCTGGGAATTGTAATCCAAATGACATTTCTATGCTTTGAACATTTTAAACTCTCTGTCTCCTCTAAAAGCCTGAACTGGATAAATAAATAAATGACAAAAGAAAACCTTCAGGACAAGAGGGAGAACATTGTGAAGCAGTGACCCTTGGCGAAGGAACAGGAGAGGTCTTACATTACAAGTATACAAGAGTGTCCATATTTTTATCCACAGAGGATATGTCATTGCTGGCTTCAGTAATCTGACTGAACTTCTTTTGAAATGTTATTATGGGTCTTTGAGCCACACATTGCTCAGTGGTGCACACTGCTAAAGGATATCTTTAAAACACCAGCACATTGGCTTGATGCTCTTCTGGATTCATAAGATCATCAAATCATAGAGTTGGAAGAAATCACAAAGGCCATCTTGTCCAACCCCATCCCTCCCTCCATATAGGAATACTCAATCAAAGCACTTCTGACAAATGGCCATCCAGCTTCTAGTTAGAAGCCTCAGAAAAGGAGACCGCACCAGACTCCAAGACAACATATTCCACTGAGAAACAGCTCTTACCATTAGGAAATTCTTCCTAACATTTAAATATAATCTCTTATATTCAGATGGGATCTCACTATGTCACATTGGCTCCATCTTCAATACTTTAAAGCTGTATTAAATGAGGATAGTTGATTTAATTGTTGGTAGACACTTAGGCCCCTTCTACACAACTGAATAAACCCCTACATTTTCTGCTTTGAACTGGAATATATGGCAGTGTGGACTCAGATAAGCCAGCTCAAAGCAGATATTGTGGGATTTTCTGCCTTGATATTCTGGATGGAAGAGCCCAAAGTGTAATAGTTTAAGCAATGAACTACAACTCTGTTGACCAGGGTTTAGTTCCCTGCTCAGCCATGGAAACCTACTAAGTGACTTTGGGAGAATTATACATGGTCAGTCCCAGAAAGTTAATCTAGGATCATCATAATTTGGAAACAGCTTGAAGGTATACAACATCAACAACATGACAACTTTAAAGTAATTTTTTCAGCTGCATTTTGCTTTCATTTGTACTGTGAGCTGCATGGTGTCCCATACTGAGGAGAAAGTAGGGCATCAGTCAGCATATTTATTATATTATTGTAGTCATTATAATTAATTAAGTAATTAATTACATGATTAATTCATTAAAAGGCCTCTAAAAACTAAGTCAGATCTTCTCTCTGTTTGATAGTCAGTACTTGCATCCTTTTCCCTCATGCATCCCAATGTCCTTGAATCATCTCCTCTCCAGGCCATGCAAAACATCGATTTGATCAGAGATGAGCTCCATACTCATTAGTGATTTGTCAATATTAGCAATCATAAATTCTGCACAATCACAGAGCGGAGACATCCCATGGAAAGGGGTGGGTTGTTTTGTTTTGTGTTTTGGACTCTTCTCTTGCCATTGGGGTGAGCTAGCATGCCTTTCCTCTGGCAGATGCTCCCTCCAGCTGGCCTCGCTACCATAGAAAGAGCTCATGCAAGGACACAATAAGAGGTAGGTGCCTCTTTGAGTTTCTAAGTGTGAATTTTTAGGGAAATTCTCAATACGGCGATCAAGAGGTAAGTATGTACTTAGTTACAGACAGAGCTGCCGGTATGAAAATTGCAGCAGATTTGCTGAAACTTTTAATGGTCATGTGTCAGTCAATAAGCTGACGACTACTGGTCTATGATGAGTTTCCAGGAAAGAAGGAAACAGTTGTAGCAAATGATCACAAACATGGTGTCAATTCTGGATACATTGGGGTGGGGAAACCTTTCTGGGTTCCCACATCAGACAAGTTCAAAATGATCTAGTGTAGAAGATACTAAGCTGGGGTTCTATTAGTCTGCCATATTATGAAACTGAATTCTGTGTTCTCACTTCTTCCAACACAGATTACAAGAGGTTTAATTTAATGTGATCTTTCATTTCCAAGTTTTCCATCAAAGTTAGGAGCAGAGCCAGCGCTACCATTAGGCAGAATTGTAAGGTTGACAGATTGAAAACTAGCAATAACTTCTATAGTTTTCTTGAAGAAGGCAGATTTGGTCACAATGTTTCATTCTTTAATTACATATTAACTACTTGAAGTGTGTTGGAAATACAGTTAGAGCAAAATGCACAGCCAGACCGATTCTCACATATACACTTTAGAGATCATACAACTCAAGAACTTCACAGGTTTCGAATTCAAGGTTGTTGGTGTTGACCAACAAAGCCCTAAAGAACTTGGCACCAGGTCATCTGAAAGGCCATCTCCTCCCATATTAGCCTTCCAGAGAAGCCCTGTTGCGTGTCCCAACACTTTGTGAAGTGGGACATGAAACAGGAAGTTTTCTGTGAGAACAGTGGAATCCTTATCCAATGAGGTTAGGCTGGCCCCATCTCTAGCATTCAGTGTTTGAATTTGCTATTTTAACCTATTCAGGTTGGATTCCTAGATTGTTTCTAGATTGCTTTAAGAAGTTTTTAAAGAATGTTTAAGGTGGTTTTTTTTAAAAAAAGTTTGTGTCTTTGCATTGTTTCAATACATTTTTTGTCCATTGCCTCAGGAGCTCTTATGGATTCAGAAATTGTTCCAACACATAAGTGAACAAAATGCATAATAAGTGTATGGAATTTCCTTTTTTTCTTTTTTCCTTTTTTTATTTTTTTTTTAATTTTTTGTGTGGCTTTTATATATATATATATATATATATATATATATATATATATATATATATATTTGGTGGACTTGGGGGTAGGGGGATGTATTTCTTACTTTTTTCCTACTTTCCTATCATCTTTTTTAATATTCTCCCTCTTTCGATGTTATTTTTAAAACCTTAATAAAAACTATTATAAAAAAAAATAAGTGTATGGAATTTCAGCTGGTGCTGTTTGTCATGCAACCAGGCAACAAACAACATGTCTTCTACACAACCTTCAAAGTTATAGGAGGTGTCTCTAGTTTTCTCTTTCACAACCCTAGAGTGAAGGGGCTACTTTAGGCAGCCCATTTTGTGGGCTGCAGAAAGGCTTCAAATTATATTGTAACTATGCTACTGTTTGGTTCTGTTGTATATTGCATCTACACCAGCGTTTCTCAACCTGGGGGTTGGGATCCCTGGGGGAGGGGTCATGAGTATTTTCTGTTGATCATGGGGGTTCTGTGTGGGAAGTTCGGCCCAATTTTATTGTTGGTGTGGTTCAGAATGATTTTTATTGTAGATGAACTATAAATCCCAGCAATTACAACTCCCAAATGGCAAGTCTATTTTCCTTAAACTCCACTAGTGTTCATATTTGAGCATACTGAATATCCGTGCCAATTTTTGTCCAGATCCATCATTATACAAGTCCATAGTGCTCTGGGTGTAGGTGAATTACAACTCTAAAACTCAAGGTCAATGCACACCAAGCCCTTTCAGTATCTTCTGTTGGTCATGGGAGTTCTGTGTGCCAAGTTTGGTTCAATTCTATTGTTGGTGGAGTTCAGAATGCTCTTGTAGGAACTAGAACTTGAAAATGACCAAATCAACCCTCCGAACCCCACCAGTATTCAAATTTGGGCGTATTGGGTATTTGTGCCAAATTTGGCCCAGTGAATGAAAACACATCCTGCATATCTATATTTACATGATGATTAATTACAGTAGCAAAATTACAATTATGAAGTAGCAACAAAAAATATTAACTGCCATGGAGTGTGGGTGCCTCACCAAACTACAGCTCCCATGGTTTCATAGCATCGAGTTAAGGCAGTTAAAGTGCTGTGAAACCGCATTTCTTTCACAGATTAACTGCAAAAAGAGTGATGCTACACGTCAGTACGTTTTCAACCACCAGGTAATTTAGGTATTGCAAGAAGAGATTAATTACCAATTAGTTCCTAGTTCTGTTTTCCTATGCACTCCTAGTTCTTTTCCTATGAACTCCTAGTTTTTGGGAGAGAAATCCTTTTCATTCTGTAGATGAGAGATGGGCTATATTTTGACGTTCTTGTCAATAGGGGATGCCATATTTCTGGAACACACCATTTCCTGATACTGAAATTGCCTGACACTATAATTAACTTCTATTACCCATTATTTATCTTGTCCAGCTAGATTTGGAACAATATACAAATTGCCAGAGGAAAATCTAGCTTTTAAATAACTATTTTTTCCAAATAAGAAAGTGGCAGATTCTTTTTCAAAGAGAAAAGAGTCTTTATGCAAAAAAAGCAATAATATAAGTATTAAAAAATGAAAACCCCATGGGGGCCTAAGTGAACATAGGAAAAGTAATATAATTAGCTCTGCTTGGAGACATAACAAATGAGAAGAACAAAAGGCCAGTGGAAGATATATATATATATATATATATATATATATATATATATATATATGAAAACCAGTTGCCAGGTTACTAGTCGTGAGTTGTTAAAACTAACATAAGTCCTTTGCTGACCATTTGTCAAGGCTGTAAGTGCAAAGAACTGGATCAAGTCTTATTTGATCCATTTATTTAATGTTATGAACTGCAGTGTGGGTATTCCCTGCTTTCCTGACATTAATCTTGCGAAAGCTGATGTGCTTGTTATTGAATAATATTTCCTGCCAATGGAATAGAGGGCAAGGAATGATAGGATGGTGAATCCAGTTTTTCTGAATGGATCTATCATGCATTCATTTCCAAACTTCCTTGCAACCAAAAAATCCTATTGCATTAAATAAATGAAGATTAATACATTTGTATGGTGGCCATGAGCTCTTTTTTCAAAAATCCTCTTCTTTGATTGCATTAGCATCTCCTGAAATAATCCGGAGTACCATGCTCTCTAGATACAGCATGGGAATGACTTGAATCCATTTTTAGTCTAGTCAGACAGCCAGGTCGACAGCATATTGGAGCCTCCTCCACTGGCACTGTTTCACCAGCCAAAAGCAGTTCCTTGGCAGAGTTTTGCTGGCAATGTCGCTTCTGGTGAGGTGACAATATTTGAAAGGATGTCACATTGAGGAGGGAACACATTTGTTTTCTAATGCTCTAGAGACTAGGTCATGGAGCAATGAATTCAAATGCAGGAAATGAGATTCCATCTAATTGTTAGAAAAAATCTCCTGACAGGAAGAGCTGTTTGACAGTGGAACATGCTGCCTCAGGGCCCATCCAGACAGTATCTTTATTCCACAGCAAACAGGAGGGTGGCCAGACGCTATTCCCTGTAAACCCCGGAAATAATTGCTACAAAAGGCAAAAAACACGAGATTTCCAGGTGCAGGAATATTGCAGTTTTGAGCCAAATATCTGGATCTTCACATGTCTGTATGTCCCTGCAATTGGAAATGTCGGGATTTTTTATCTGGGTTTGTTCCCGGGTTTTAGATGCTTGTTTTTAGTTCCTAAAAAGAAGGTGACACTTGAGTAGAAGGCAACAACTTTGTTTGTTTGTCAGAAATGTCATGAAACATGTGGAGGGCACATTTTCTCTGGCCTGCACATAGAACAAAACTTTTATGATGATCTGCATAACGGAATCTCCTCATATCCACATATATGCATCATGCAGAGGCAGGTTTTTAAAAAACTGCCAGTTTCTGGCAGAAGTCCTGCGGCAGCCATCTTGGGAGCTTCTAAATCCCAGAACAAAGCATCAAATCTTGGACAATGGAAATAGAAATCCTGGGACCAACAGGTCTGTATGTGGACCTCTCCTGAAATCCCAGGATTTTTTTGCCCCTCACTAAAACCTGTGATTTAGTACAGTTTCTTTCTCTGGATATTTTAAACAGAAGTGGATGACCATCTATTGAGAGTGATTTGATTGTGCATTCCTACATACTAGGGGGTTGACCCTAGTGGTTTCTTCCAACTCTATGTTTCTATGGCAACAGTGAAGCCTAGCCATGAAGATGGAGCGAACATAGCACAGGGAGTAATGGATTCAAACTATAGGAAAAGAGATTCCACCTGAATGTTATGAAGAGCTGTTAAACAGTGAAATATACTACCTTAGAGTGTGGTGGAGTCTTCTGTTAAACTTTTTAAAGCAGAGAAGGGATGGCTTTGATTGTGTGTCCTTGCATGGTAGAATAGGCTCTTGTGATCTCTTCCAACTCTATGGTTCTATCATTTGATGGCATCTCCACCAAGGCTCTGCTGGGGAGCTGTTTCTGATCAGTGACACATTGGTAGGTTTTTGTCCACCCCAATCCAGCTGTCCACATCTCAAAATCACCAGTCTGGAGCTCCCTGGAAGCCTAGAGAGATTATCTGATCTAATGTGAAACAACACCGAGAAGGAAGAACAAAGGCTGGTCTCTCAACAGTTGCCAGCCAACAGAATACTGAGCAGATACCCAGATTATCCGGTCTTCTCCATGATGAGACAATGTCCTAAATATTTCTGTTTTAATAAAGGGTGCAGAACTTGTGGCCTTTTAGATGTTGGTGGACTTCAAAAACCCATCAACTCCAGTCTGAATAATCAATTGTCAGGCATAGCTGTTCATCATTAAGGACTCAAATTATTATAGTGTTTTTTAAAA